TCGGTTAACAATTACAAATTAATTGTACTAAATAAACACACCCACTTTAAATTGCAATTAAACGTCAGTCGTAAAAGTGGAGTTTCAAATAAGTGCCTGTAGTTATTTTTTAATTACCGTAGTACACATATAAAAAATTCCTTGAACTCTCCCAATCTACACTTATTAAAAATATAACTTGAATTGATACATTTAAGGAAACTGCATTTATAAAATGAAATAGACTAGTATGGAAGTATTGCCAAGCAATTAAAAATACGTTTTTACATCTGCCAAGGAATAATAACTGTGGGTGTCAACAATTAAAACTAACAAAAAAAATACAACAATAGGTAAAACATTTATATCTTCTTAAAACTTGAATACAGCATTAAAACAGAGACAAAAATGCCCAATAAGCACATGTATAAATATTTTTTACAAAAAAAAAAATAATAAATGGCACCATTTGATTCCATTTGAAGGTTTTATATTATGTTTACTAAGAAATTATTCAGATATATATTTTTTTAATAAATTATAAAAGTAAATGTGTAAAATAATTAAGACCAAATAAATAGGCACTTTGGTCTACCATACTTATATACTAACTTGTAAAAAAACTAGTATTTCTTCTCTTTATCAAACAACTTTACAACAAATAAATATACATACGAAATTAAAATGACATACAGTCCACTTATTACTGCATCAAATATATATTATTTTCCCTATATCAAGCACTGAACACATATTCCACAACCTTAACTATAATTCTAGTACATTTTACCGTTGTAAAGTTTCATTGTTCTTATTTTTATGTTTTTCAATACAAATTGAGAACAAATTATTAATTTGAAATATAAAAAATATAAAAATATATTATTTTATTGAGAATAATTTTCTCTTTTTTTGTATCATTTTATTTACTCTACATGTTTCCATACTAATTTGAAGACTGATCATACGTTACACATACACTCATCACACTCTAAATAAAATTCAAATTAAATTATTTCAAAGATTTGTTTTAGAGGGTAGGTATGGCATTATCTGAATACTAATATTGTTATAATTTTTCTATTATGTTCAAAACAATTATATTGATTATGTGTTACTGTACGTCAAGTTCTTCTAATCTAGAATATACATAAATTTAAATTTTTTAAACTTCTACCAAAGCCAAGTGTTTAAAACATTTTTGAAAATAATGAGAAAATTTTAAATTGTTTTATTGTAACCTCAATATTTATACTATTTAACAGGATTTCTCAAATGAAATGAAATCTAAAATAATTGCATCGTTAAAAATTGTCCCCGTCACATTTAATAAATACCAGGAAAATATTATATGTACAGGGTGTTTCATAATGATGTGCAAATATTTTAAGGTGTTTAGAAAGTAATTTTAGGTGGGTATTTCCAATATATTTTTTTGATTTGAGCCTCCCCTGAGAAAATATTCAAATCTAAAAATGGCCTAAGAAATTAGCTTTTACTTTTTTCACAAAAACGGTTAAACTTAGAAATTAGAATTTTGGTACACGTTGACAATTAGTTGAATGATATTTTTTGGTAGGTAGTCTTTTTTTTCTGGTTTATGTCTTTGAATGAAAGAAATTAGCACCCCTTGGTTTAATTTCTCTCACTTTTCTACATTAGCTAATTTTAACGAGAAAAATAGCTTTTAATGCTACATTTCCTTTAGAAACTTTTTTACTCTTCCCATTTTTTCGTATACTTAATGGTTTACCAGCAAAAAAATAAACTATTTTTTCTTGCCAAGCAGATACACATAATTAGTATAATGGTTACCAAAAATGATCGTCATGTTTGACATGTTTTTTGCAAAAATCCTTTTTTATCAATAGGAAAAGATAAGCAAATATGAACTAAAAATTTAATAAAAATAAATAAAAGCTAATTTTTTTCGGCCATATTGATATTTGAATATTTTCTCAGGAGGCACTCAAATTGAAAAAAAATGTATTGGAAGTACTCCCCCTAAAATTACTTTTTAAACACTTCCTTAAAATATTTGCACATCATTATGAAACACCCTGTATATTTCAATATGTAAAAAACAGCTTTTTGTATTTTAATACTTTTTTGATACTTTAGAAATTTTTTTTCAACTGAGATCTCTTACTCTTATTTTAAAAAATGTTACAATACTTTTAAAAAAGTGTCAAATGAAATAGAGGACTGCGAAAACAAGTTTCACAGTGTAATGCGCGTCAAAAATGAATAAGTATTTTCCTTGTCCAAATTCAATATTAAATTGACATTTGATTTTGAATCTCTCATTTTTGAGATACAGGGTGTTAAAGTTTTAACAAAATAAAGTTATACCTCAAAATATCTTTTGAACAATTAAAGATATGAAATGAAATTTTGTGTACACAACACAAAAATAAAATGACCGACACCATTAAAAAAATTAAGTCTCAACTCAAACCTGTAGTGTAAACGATACATTTTCCGCACAAATTACAGGAGATAATGTTTTCTACTTTTGTTTGAATTAGTTTTATTGTTCCGGTACAAATTTGTAGATATGTTTAGATAAATTTAACTTTCTTACAAGCGACATTCAAAATTGCAGCATATTAGTCGACACTTCACTTTCTCATACTTAGTGCCATTTTTTGTACTTTGCATAGAAAATTTCATTTAAATATTCCTTTTTGTTTTTTTTTTAACTAAATATTAAGGCGGTAAGGACAATGTTTATGTAAGAAAACATTCATAAATTTGAACATTATTATTTTTGAAGCAATTGTTACACCATCTATTTCAACAATTATTCAACTATAACCAAAATGTCGTTAACTAGTATCTGTTGAATGAGTTGGCTGATGTGTACTACAGTGGCTATAAGAATGGTGACAATAGACGTTTAAGCTCCGCCCGTTGTGCATTTAAATGTAAATTAAAGAAATAATCCACAATTCCAGCAAATTAAGAGCACTGAATGTTCAGAAAAACAACACAAAAAAAATCAATTTACTTAAATTTTCCATTAAAATATATACTGTTAATGACCAAATGTCAATTATGACATTTGCTGATAAATGTTACAACCAATCACAATGCTGCGACACTATTCTTTACAAGGCGACTGTAGCTTGTAGTAAATAGATTTAATTATTTCATTTATCATTTTGTAAATCTGTCAATTGACAAACAATTAAGCGTAACGGCTTTCTTTAAGATTAAATAATAAATATCAAAAGAATCATACAATATTTATACAAGATAATGAATGTAAACATCGAAATCCATCATATTTAAAGAGATATTATTTGAAATTCAGTATATCAAAATTAAAAAAATCTAAGTTTAGGTTTAATTATAATGCCGACTTTTTATATCCCAAACAGATAAATTGCAATTATGTCAAACTTAAAACAATTTAGTGCCCTGCTCTGATAGATTAACTAGGTATTAAGGCTGATTCCATCTCAAATCATATAGAGCTCCATGTGGACCTGTCACCAAGCTACTCCAAAACATTTTTTTATTGTTTTAGGTCAAAAATAAGAGGACCCCTATTTTTCCTTTTTCCTCTCAGATGCACAGTTGCGTCTATTATGTACTCGGAAAATGCTTTGTCGAAAAGAAAAATTTTTAAAAATTTCTTATTGCATATTTTTTTTATTTTTTAACAGGACAAAATAATTCTTATTTTACCTGACAAAGGGAATGAAGCCCTTCAAATCTACCTTTTCAAATATATGAATAAATGAATTGTTCGGCAGAAAATGCATTTTTTCAAAAAAGTGCATCTTCGAAGAAAATAAGTTTTTCCCAAAAAGGCCATATTTTTTTGCTCTCAATTTTTTTTTTGGAGATTCTTAGTACCAATATCTTCAAATCTATCTTTCCGAAATTTGCGGTTTTTGCTTTTTATCACATAAAACTTAAAAATAAAAAAACTACAATAACATGTGAATAAAATAAAACATTCATTTCTATTCAATTATATACAGGGTGTCACGCTTAAATGTAATACAAGCCTGTAACTTTTTTATTTTTTGGCCGATTTCAAAAGTTTTTATTTTAAAATGTAGGGTAAAAAAATTCTATCTAACTGTGATACTACTGTTTTTTATTAATGCAATACATGGCCAACTAGTGCTCGCCTAAAGATGTATCGAATTTGATGAAACATGGTGATAAGACGATTTAAGGAATACTGAATAAGAATACGTCGTGTTTTTTGGAAAAATAAAATCGCTAATACCAATTAGATGTTTTGACGTCAAGAAAACGCGTCCTAGTTCGCCGTGTATTGCAATAATAAAACAGCAGTATCACAGTTAGATAGAATTTTTTTACCCTACATCCTAAAATAAAAATTTTTGAAATCGGTCAAAAAATATATTACATTTAAGCGCGACACCCTGTATATAATTGATAGAAATGAATGTTTTATTTTATTCACGTTATTGTAGTTTTTTTTATTTTTAAGTTTTATGCAATAAAAAGCAAAAACGGCAAATTTCAGAAAGATAGATTTGAAGATATTGGTACTAAAAATCTCCAATTTTATCGAGTCAAAAAATAAAAAAAAAACATCAAAATGCAATCGGAAAATTTTTTTTAATTTTTCTTTTCAGCGATTTATATTCTCATATTTGAATCGGAATGGAATCGGCCTTACATTCTTATAAAAAGTTTTCCAAATTGTTTTTTGCAATCAATGTTATTAAATTTTACTTTTTGAATAAGAAAATTTCAAAGAAGGAGAGTAACAGACAATTTTTCAGGGCAGTAATTTTTTTTTATTCAATCCTCAAGGTATTATTGACCGTTTTTTTAGAATTTCACTTCGATCATTGTTATAAACACATCAATGAAACTGGAATAGTAAAATAAAATATTTGGTTTCCTGATAACGAATTTTTATGGTTGTTCTATTTACCTGTGTTTTAACATAAAAATGAAACAGTGTGTGTAAAAACATAATAATATATTAAGTTATATAAGGGAAATTTAAAACTTTCCAAATAGAAAATTCTCAATAGCAGACAAATATTACATAACAAGTGAATTTGTACAAAAATTCAGGTATATTTGAATTAATATTAAGTTACTACTAACGGCATCAGTAAAAGGCTCGATGCTAAAAAAAAAACTCCCAAACTTCGTTTTACTAAAGGCTAAATGAAGTCGTATTCTACATGTAAAAAAGTAGATATTTACAATTTCTTACATTTTTACACCTTCGTAAATTTTTAAATTTAGTAATTAATTTTAAGAGTTACCAATAGTTAAAATCTCGACTCAGTAATTTTCAAATTGCAATAAAAAATTGGTAAATCTGAATGAATATATTTTTCACATTTGTGGAAATGAAAGTTATATATATACAATTTTTAACAATATTTACATACTTATAAAAAGGAAAAACAGAGGCCTGCAACTGTAACCCTTAGGGAGAAATTAAACATTCTATATTACGTGAACGCCCTGGTATGAATAAAAACATTACACTATTAAGGAACAAAATATAATCAACTAGACACCTTTTCGTCAAACTTTTGAGGTACTCGGAACTACATAAGTATACACAAATGTCCTGCAATTATATCTTCCTTTATAAACATTGAAATATAACAGAAATTATAACAAAAAAAAAACAACAAATAAACGAAAAATTTGACAACACAAATCTTTTGAGGTGTACTTGAAACAATTTTTGTGCAACATGTAAAATTATGCATTTTCCACGTTACATCGTTGTGCCCCTAAATTGACAACACTCTAAGTTGAAACATTTCCTGGTATAAGGAAAAAATTATTGTCATTTCATTGTAATACTTAGATAGGGATAGATTGGTGCCTGTAGGGTGCACAGCCAACGATATGAGACGCAAAATTGCTAGATGTTCTAAAAAGAAAAAATATACAATAACTCCGTTTAACAAAACCAATCCCTATCTAGTTCTTCACTTTTCTTTTTCAGAAAGAAAATTTATAACTCTTGATGAAGTTAATATCTTGCTTCATTTTTGTTCTTAAAGAGCAGGGCCCAATCAATCTTCTAATAAAAAATATGCCTAACTACTAACAGTACATCGATTAGTGAATAAATTTAAATCACATACGGTTTGGTACAGTGTATAGCGAAATCACACTTTAATATGTATTTTAAATACAGCAAACCGGCACTATATTTAAACAGAAATACGTTACAAAATGTATTTAAAAACGATATAAATATATATAAATTATATACTTTAAACAATACTGTGATTTTATAATAAAATTATAAATTATATACATATGCTCCATATGATTCCATCAGTCACTTCTCTATATCATCAAAAAAAACTAAAAACTTTAAAATAGAGTTTAAAAAAGATAAAACTTGACCTACACTAGGAAAAACAAGAGTTCGGACCTCTCCAAATTTCTATTAACTATACTGTGATATGTATTGCCAAAAAACTGGATAATAATATATATCCGTGCAGTAATAAAGTGGACCCTGCAAGTATAATTAGTGAGGATGGATATCTAAGTAAATATTTGTTATAATAGTTTGTACATGGATGAGCAAAATTTTAAGAAAGGAAATCATAATCAAAGAGATCTGCCAATCCTTCAGCAGCATCTAAACTGAAGTTGTACTCGGATTGCATAAGAGGTTCCAAAGGTACAAAAGGTTCACTGCAGAACAAAGGATCCATCATCCCTGAAATAAAAAGTCCTCTTTAGTGTGGCACTGTAAATCCATAACACACATAATCTATGTTTTTTGTTATAATAGTATCAGCAGGTATTATATCAAATATAAATTATGTACAATTAAATATTCACAAACCAACGTTTAACTTAAGGCACCTGTATACAGAATGTTTCATGACGAACTGAAACACATATAATGGCAAAGTGGGCAACTTAGGCGAGTAAGAAATGAGCAATTAAAATTTCATCATATTTTTTGTCGATGCAGACAAACTGCCTAATGTTAAAAAAACATCGTGTTTTTTTTTTTAATTAATGTTGCTTGTATAATTTATTATACAGGGCCCATAATAACATGTACAACGGAAGACCACAGATTCGTGAATTCAAATGTGAATTTTGTAAATAACTCGAATACCTATTAATCGATCTTGATTATTTTTGGGGTGTGGACTTTTGCTTTCAATCTACACATTTAGGTGTTATACAGAGTGTCTTTTAAAACCTACAACTTCTACAAAATTGATGTATCCATTCATAACTTTTTCCTCTTTAGGGCAGTAATGACAAATATTTTTTATCTGATAGGTGATACCATTTGGAAGTTTTTGAGCCTCTTGTAGAATTGTGATTAAATTAGCGGTTTAGGTACAAAAAAATATTTTATAGAAGGTCTACATTATCGTGCCACCCATATTATAATACTTAACAAAGTGCCAGTAGGCACTGATTTTATAAGTTGACTGTAATTTCAATCTGATCTTTAAGCCATTGTGCCTGACAATTCTTAATGAGTGTTTACAGCGATAAGATATACCACCTGTTTCTTCATTTTTCGATATGCCTACACACATAAAACGAATTAGTTATTTACAATGTGCCTAATTTTATTCAAATAATTAGAAAAAACAGTCAAATACAACGCATTGATAGTATTATTATTGGCCCTGTTATTCTACCCAATAAATTAAATGGGGAATTTTATTTACAATTTTTGCAAAACACCCGAGTTATTAGAAGGTGTGTCGTTATTATTCAGAGCCAACAAGTGGTTTATGCATGATAGAGTTCCACCACATTTCACTGTAAATGTCCGGCAATATCTGAATCAAAGATTTCCTCGTCGATGGATCGGTAGAAGGGATAATGCTCCTGTTAACTGGTCTGTACGTTCACCAAACATAACACCTTGCGACTACTATCTTTGGGGCACTCTGAAAACAACAATGTATGCTTCCACATCTAACACTGAAGAAGAGTTGTGTAGGCATATCCAAATTGCCATAAATGTTTAAAAAAATTGCCCTCAAGAACTGCAAGGGGTGCCTTTTAACTTTCTTCGCTGAATGAACCTTTGTTGTAGAAACAACGGTGGTCATTTTAAACAGTTTTTATAATAAGTTGTACTAAATTTAATAACATCAACTTTGTTACTTTTATCTGCAGCATTTTTTATTGCATTTGTAAATAACTCTTAATTCGTTATATGTGTGTATCCATATCCAAAAATGAAGTAACATGTGATATATCTTATCGTAGTAAATACTAATTAAGAATTGACAGGTACAATGGCTTAAAGATCAAACTGAAATTATGTCAACCTACAAAATCAGTGCCTACTAGCACTTTGTAAGTATTGTAATATGGGCAAGATAATGTAGACATTTAAAAAATATTTTTTTTTTACCCAAATCGCTCATTTAGTCAAAATTCTACAAGAGTCCCAAACACTTCCAAATGGTATCACCTATCAAATTAAAAATAGTTATCATTATTGCCCGAAAGAGGAAAAAGTTATGAATGGATATTATTACCACACATCAATTTTGTCAGAGTTGCAAATTTTAAAAAATACTCTATATAACACCTAAATGTGTAGATCGAAAGCACAAGTTCACACCCCAAAAATAATCAAAATCGATTAATACGTATTCGAGTTATGTATTTACAAAATTCAAAAAATTTTCACTAACTTTGAGGCCATCTACCGGCCAAACGAAGCGATTTCGGATATAGGTAAATTAGCCTAAATCTGCCAATGAATCCACAAATCTGTGGTCTTCCATTGTACACATTATTCTGGGACACCCCGTATATTAACTACCTATTACTAGGTAATAATAAATATTATTAACTAACTATTAATAGGCATACATCAATAATTGTAAATAAAACTAATTTGTTTTAAAATAATTATTTTTGTTTGTTGTTCAGCGGTCGTCAACTGGCGGACCGCAGAAGATAAAATACTGGACCGCCAAAAATTTTTTTAAAGTATAATTACTCAAACAGATTATTTAAAAAATCATTTTTACGTTTGAGTGCCACCCTTATCATTTTTTCTAATACTTTACAATTGTGTGACTGATTTGAGTTCTTAATGGTTAGTTAATAAGCAGATTAAATTTGAGTCCACATTAAAATAAAAAATTAGTAAGAAATATGAATTGTTTTTCTTGACCTCCTTAAAAATCCAAAAGTATTTGGACCCCACCTAAAATTACTTTCAGACCCCTGCCCTAGACTACTCAATTGTGCGATTCTAGTATGCACAGCAGTGATGGGTGATAAAATTGAAGTGGTCATATTTTAATAATAAAGCATGGGATCTATACTATATTTTTTTAGAGCCACATGAGATCCTGATGAAAAAATTTCAACCAAATAAAATTAAATTAGGGACTGCTAACTCTGAAATTTCAAAAAGGGTTACACATACATATTTGCTAAATATTTTTCCATATATTTTTTTCCATAGATAGATACAAATAGACGTTTTTTATTGCTCTGAAAAGTTTTTCGTTTTTCATAGTTGCAGCATTATAAAATTTGAAAAAAAAATAAAACTAGTCAAATTAAAGTTTAAAAAAGTACAACTATAAGAAAATAGAAGTCATAACCTAAAAAATGGTATGCGTTCCATGCTTTATTATCAAAATATAACAACTTCAATTTTCACCCTGTAAAAAACAACAAATGAAGTTCTTCACTGAAGCTGCTAGTCTTACTTATCTTTAATTCAACATCACCTGTAGAAGAATTCTATTGAAAACTGCTTAAAATAGCAAGATTTCAGTTGCAATTGCCCCATAATAACTAAATTATTCACTGCACTTTCCAGTTATAATATAAAACTCATACACATAATTTGCTAACTTGTAACTTCTACATGGTACAAGCCTATCAAGATATTTACAGAAATACAATAAATGAAAAATTTGTTAACGATTGTATAGATAATTATATTAAGGACACTTACGCATAACAAGTGTTGCACTGAAAAATTGGTTAAGATTAGTTTGTTAGTCATCCACAGACAGAATGCTGAAGCATACAGGAAGCAGTTAGCGAATTTCCGAAACAATGAGCTGAATCCCATGGTGCTACGGCTTCTAAGCAGCTCTCATAGGATTCAGCACACTGTAAGGGCAAGCGATCCAAAGCAGGACACCAGACAGGACGAGTCCAATAAGTTGTTAATTAAATTCAGCTCTTAACATACACTTAAATCTTTTTTGATGTTAGACAACACGCAAATACATACAAACATACCATTGTGATAATCGAAATATTAAAAAAATTGGTTCCAATGCTTTCACGATACAAAATTAATAACGCAATAAGCGTTTTATTGACAAATGTGTGTGTTAAAAATTTGTTAATAAATTAGAATTTTTTTTATAATTTGAATATTTTTATGGCAATGATTTTTCCAGGCATTCTAAAAAATAAGGTATGTCAGATGTACACATAAACAATAAAAAATGTACAAATTAAGTAAAATCGATAGCTAAATATCCCTCTAAGAAGTAAGCAGTAACCGCATAGCTAGAACTCTGCCTGTGATGTGAACAAATGACACACAAGTCACAGAAAGAGCTCCAGAATGCAACTACCTTGAAGCTGTTAATGTTGTTAGTGTGTTAAAATAAGCAAGTAAGTAGACATATACAGTTTTGTAAGTGCAAAAAAGCAAAAACAGAATCTAATTATAAAATATTTAATAGGTAATGCATAATTTATATAGAATTAGTTATTCATCAGTTAACAGTTCACTTAAGGTTAAATATTCATATCCTATTTTTGACATTGTAGTATAAGTAGTAATAAAAAAGAAAATAACTAATACCAGTACGTGTACAAATAAATTATTTCTTTCCCCAAAATAATTAGTACTTAAGACTGGATCATTTCTAATTTCAATTAATTTAATAAAACAGAAATATATACCAATAATTTGAGCCTAAGTTAATTATGTGGAAACATAGGTATTACTAAAAAATCCTTGGTGAATATTGTATTTATATTATAATTAGGGCACAAACCTAAATGAAAAACACTGATTTAAAAATTATTTCAAACCTTCCCTGGTTTTTATCAAATTTATTAGCTAAAAATAGAGCACATGAATAAGTGATGGTATTTTCACTATTTTTTTTTAGTAGATACTACAGGAACTTATTTTGAACATTTTCATCCAAATTTTTAGGCTGGAAATCGGTCTTATTGACCCTTCTCCTTTATTAGGTATAAGCTTTATTACAGAATTGAATAAAAAATATCTCCAGATGCATTAATTTAAAAAAAAAAAAAAGATGTATAGCAATTTTTTGTTTCAAATACAATTTTATGTAGTGTAACTATCAAAAGTCCAAAAAAAAACACTGTTATCACAAATAAAAATAAGTAATTCATTGTATATTTTTTTTATGGTTCTATGATCCAATGAGATATTTGAATTTTTAAGCAATGTGCAAAATTGGTTTACTAGATCTTTATTACACTAAAAATATCCTTAAGTGCTGTTATTACTCGCTAAGTTACTAATTTGTTTGACAACTCTGTCAATGCTTTTTTGAAGAAAATTTAACAGTAATAAATAACGGCATTTGAATATTGTTAAAAAAAATTCTAACACATTGTTTTCACGCATCAAACCACAATAATCAGTGACGCCAAAATTCCAAAATTTTTATTGAAATCAAATTTTTATTTTTTTAGTATTCCAGCCTCTCCCTTACTGGTTGACTTATCTTATATATCAATTCAGTAGATTTCTGCCTTAAATTAAGTAAATTATTTGCCCCAGATTCATGAATCTATGGGCTCCCTGTATCTCAAGAACTTCTTTCTTATTTTAAGGAATTTTATTACCACGTAAAGTTTGGCATGTGCAAATGGAAACATCTCGTATAACCATTGTTACACTTTAAACTTATTTAAACTATTAGAAATTTCACGTCCAATTAGTATAATCGGAAGTTTCCCGAAAAACCCAAATATATCACATTAACAAAATCAGTTCAAACAAAATTCTATTTTTAATATAAACTCTGACCTTCAATAACTGTCTGATAGGAAACAATGAAAATTTAACCAAATTTACATTTATTAATAGCATAATACTCCTTCCAAATAAATATTATAAATAATACTACAGTGAAAACTGGTTATAATGACATTGCTTTATATTGGATATGTAACGATGGAATTTGGAAGTACCGATTTAATCCTATAGAAATACCATATTGAAAATACTGTTTACTACAATACCGTTTACGACATTTCGGATTTAGCGACGCGTTTTTATATAGATTTACCATAGAATCTGTTGGTTATAATGACCAATACGGCTTTAAAACCAATGCTTTTGACAGCAGTTAGTACTTTTCGGACAAATTACGACTTATCTACACATACAGTTATTTTATATGCATTAATTACCAATTTCTATTATGATGTCGAAGAGAAACGTATTTAATAAAGATTAAAAATCACGTACAGTGTGTTTGTAAATAAGTGCAAAATATTTTATCGGGTGGTTGCCGAAGTTATTTTGTGAAAAAAAGTTCATATAAACGTAGGTCGACATATACTTCGTTTCCAGATACAGAGTGTTTAAATTATAATTTGTTATTTATTTTTATTACTTATTTCAGAGTTTTAAAGATATTGATTGAATTAGAAAAACACTGGAGGGAGAAATGTGCAATTTTTGAAAAATGAAATGCGGGAGATCTTTTGAACACAAAGCAATACATGTACATACTTAAAGACTTGCACTGTTTTTTTCTTATTTTTTCTATAAAAATTTTAAATAAAATATATGTAGGTAATTGCTTATTACGTCTATAGGTTATAACAACCGTAAACAAACGGTCCCTTGAAGGTAGTTATAACCGATTTTCACTGTATACATATATAGAACAGACGACAAATATAAATTTCTCGGTTATGCATCATACATTTTCATTATATTTACAGTAAACATGGAGTTTATTTAACATATCATCATACTCCGTAATTTATAAAATGTGATTAGATAAAAAATAATTAATATCATTAAACTGTATTTTATAGCAAGGAACCACTTGACTGCTCTTATTCATCACCTTTTTGTTAAGTAAATTATAATTATTCAGTCATCTACAAACATATTTTCAAGTACATATTTTAACTTGAACACCAGTAATGTTACGTTTTGGAAAAAGATATAAATCTGCTATAAAGGTAAATTAGAGAATTATAGGGTGGGTATATGCCAGACACAGATTGTTACAGCTATGTACGGCTGCTACTCAATACTTAAGCTTTCAAGAAGATACTTTAAAAAATATTTTGTGGCAAGAGATCACTTACACAATGATATAAGGTTAAACTACAAAATCCTATTCTTTTAAACTGAAACACAATTTATCAAGATAAAAAATTAAAAGGGATTATTAAGAAGCAATTTGTGGATTGATGTAATTTTCTTCATACTAAAAGATTATTTAAAGAGATGTGATTCTCCTAAATCTATGAAACAACAAACAGCTAAAAGAATAATGATTTTATAAAATATTAACAATTAATTTATAACATCAAGAACCAAGTACAAGACAATATGCATCAAATAGTCAATACAAGTTATGTTTGGTAGTTGATATACATAAAGTAAAATAACCATGAACATACCTGTATTACTGTTCTCAGTCTGTGAATTGAAAGGAAATCGCCCAACCATTGGGCCCAGTCCTTCACTGTCATGAATAAGGGGCATATCCATCTTAGACGTGCTCCCACTCATGCCCGTACTACTTGTAGAGAATCCCATATTGAGAGGTGATAAGTGTAACAAGTCCAACTGGTTACTTATATTTCGCTGGGGCAGTGTGTTTTGTGAACCGAACCGCTGCGAACTTTCTACTTGGCTCGTACTTGTACTTGCCCCCAAGTCGAAAGAATCTTTTGAGAAAGACAGGCTCCTACATATCTGGAAGCAAAGAATTTAAATGACATTACAGTTGAACATGTTAAGTAAAGTTATACGTAAACCCAAAAAGTATCTTGCACAATAAATAAAATTAAATTTTTTTTACCCATTTTGATGTATGTAAATCTATCCCATGTTACATTACCGAAGAGATACAGTTTTTGACGAATTTATCTCCGATTCCATCAAATATCTCGAGCGAAACTTAAATATGTACTATCTACAATCTAGTTTGTTTTATTCTAATTGCATGCAATAATATCATAGCTTTGATAGTACGGCATTAAGTATATTTGTATACAGGGTAGGAAAGTACCGATGGTCTATCTGAAGTTACGTGAGAGCGATAAAGTAAGCCATAGAAATCCATGCGATAGAGAAGGATGGCTATAATGGAGGCCTCTCATAGTCACCGCCCGTTTCGCCCTTCCACAAATAAGATCCACTTCTTATTTGTGGAAGGGCGAAATGGGCGTCGACTATTAGACGCCTTCATTATAGCCATCCTTGTCTATCACATGGATTTCTATGGCTTACTTTATCGCTCTCACGTAACTTCTGATAGACCATCGGTACTTTCCTACACTGCATATTAACAGTGGCATAGTCATTTTATGAAGATAAAGACTGACCAGTAATTGGTTTTTAGAAAAAATTGAGAATTTGGATTAAAAAGGAAAAGCAACCGAAAGCAACCTTAAACCACAAGCCTACAAACATGTTAAATGATAACAATTAGCATTTAAATAAAATAATACATTCTAACTACAAGAAATGAACTTCAATTTCAAAATTGATTTTCTGGTGAACAGCTTATTATATATTTTTATTATATTCATATATTTATTATATGTTCTATTTATTTCTCTATGCTAAGATAGAAATTTGAAGTGAAATTAAGTTTTTTCCCTAAAATTAGAGTGTGTCGAATAAATAGCAAAAAATGTTGCTTGTATTAAATCATCACATATTTTCTGAACAATTTATTGTTTTTTTTTTCATATTCACACTTAAAATGATAAACATAAAAAATCGTTAACAAAAACAAAGAGCAAAATCATCAGCAGTAACAGAGAAGAAAATCAATCGATACTTCTAATAATGACTTCATATTAACGCCTCAAAGTCAAAACCTGGGGTTAATCTTTTCTGTGGCTTCCATATTCCTCTGAGCATGTTTTCAGTGTTGCCAAGGGAGGCAACTAATAATAGTAATAATAATAATAATAACCTTTATTAATCCTTTAGACATAAGGGTTGATGGTTTCTAAATTGTTATTACCATTGTATCCTAGACTTTTATATTCTTACAACAGACTGATGCCTTTTTACGTTAACTGTGCATCTCAGTTAGAGATAATGATGTGATTTTAAAAATAAAATTTTCAGGAAAAAATGTGACTACAGTTTGTTTCAGACATTCGCTATTTTAGCTGACGCACCTTACAGGGCAAAGCAAAATTCGACGGAAAAAACTTTTTTCTTTTTTGCAGTCTATATATGCTGAAAACTGAAAGGTCAATGAAAATCTTTATCTCAGCATCATAACTAAGGAATGAGACTATAATTAAAAAAAAAATAATGGAAACCAACTAAAAGTATTTGATAAAGCACTGAGTTTCTAAAAATTTAATACTTTATACTTATTAAATTTATCCTTAACAAGCCCTTCCTATGATATCTTTAAAATTATGAAGCAGCAAATATTTTACTTCAAAGATTATGGACCAAATAATCTCTTTGATCCTTGCTATAAGTATCAAAAAATGATCAAAATGCAAATTCTCTTTAAGCAGATTATAATTAAATAGGAAAAATGTGCTTCTGAATGAAAGGACAAAATATTCACTAGAAAAATATTTAGGCCCTACATTATGAAACAGGTATTTTTAATATCAGACATTATCAAATATTAACAGAACAATGCTTTTTAAAAATATTTAATGCATTTTTAAAATATCCTAATTTAAAATTCAAAACTAAATGATTTAGGGATGTTATTGAGAATGGATGAGACTTTACTTAATTCCCAAGATAAATAAGCAGTTAAGTGGCATCTGGTAAGGTCTATTCAAGCACTACACCCATAACGTATGTCAACACCTTGTATTTACTACTAGTTAGAAATTATTTACCATAATTTGCTGATAAGCTTTTAAAAAATCAGTTTCTAAATATCAGTAAAACAGGAGATATGCTAGTTTGTATTTTAAGTATTGGAGAAATGTAGATAAAATATTTGCAGCATTTTTCTGTATAATTTTTACTTGTAGTGCAAAAACAAATTTACTATTAGGTATTTGCTTATTAATATACATTCTAGAGTATGGTAGATTGGAAAGAAAGCGTTTAAAATATTATTTGAAAATATTTGTTACAACAGGCAATGTATTATTCTGTTTCACTAAATCAATAAAGCAATTTGCAATAAACATGTATGAAGTAAATAACGACCATGTAAACATACTTTCATATTTAAAATACTATTTTTAGGTGGCATGATAACCATTAAATTCACAATTGCAAATAATTACAGCACATTACTGTATGCTAAAAAAAAATTAATACATGTTTATTTATGTACATACTACAGAAGCTGAAAAATTTGCCAAAAAAAGTTATGAGGATGCTGTATTAATTTTAGGTTATTCTGAAAATCTGGAAACTGTGACATAAAAGTTCATCACTATTTTTAAAAAGAAAACAAAATGTTTAATAATAATTATTCTAATTAATCACAAATACAACAAAGTTATTTTTCAATATAAGTTAAAACCAGTACAACTTTTATCTTTTGTAAGGTATCATAATAAAACGACTACTATCAACTTCCCATTTCTATCAACAACCAAGGTTATCATAAGATTAGTAAGTATAACCTACCTGTGATGAAATAGGTTTATGTTGCAACGTAGGACTATCTAGCTGAGGCACTGGCGGAGTAGTAATATCAAAAAGTCCTGGACTGAGTTTAATATCCCTAAGTAATGGGTCCATGGGTGGTACTGATTTAGGCTTAGAGGGTGGAACATTTTCAGGACACAGAAAAACCTCAATTTCCCCCGTATCGCTTTTCATCTGAATGCTATACTTGTCCTCTTGAGTCTCCCCCGTTGGGACAGACAACTGGGTGTTTGGTGGAGCTTTGATAGCCATCACAGTTTTATGCCGAAACCTATCTATTGAGCGTAAATCTTGGTATGTCACATAACCGTACCGGTCATTGTTTAATTTACGTAACTCACTTTCAGCAGAAATAATCATCCTGTCGAGAGCATTTTCTTGATCATCTAACATTTGCAATTGCTTTGTAAGAGTCAGGAAATTACTGCTGTCTCCATTACCCCCTTTCCACTGAATATTGTTTTTTGATTTCTTTTCCAAAATCCCTATACCTTCCAAAACATTTGTTATGTCATATATCCTTCTTTTTTGAACTTTTAACTCCTGTGAAGCTTTATTTAAATCTACTACACCATTTGGAGACTTTTCAAGTAAATCCGAGAACTTTTTTGTAAGCAAACTCAGTGAAGTGTCATACCTAGTGTTCTTCTTCACTGGTGTTTGCCTTTTAGGTCTTTTGGGTTGTGGTGCCTTAAATTCATGTTTAATGGGTACAACCGAAGGTACGTAATGTTGCGATTCTAAATTTAGTTTTCTTTTTACGGTTGGAGCTTGTGAAGGAATCGCAGAAGACATAACCTGATTGATGGGTGTTGCTCCATACCCATGGTCCAATAAATGGGGACTAGGTGTGAATTCTGATTTTTCAGACTTTACAATGGTCATATCAGGAGTAGAACTAGACGAAATAGTTTTATACCCCCTAGGGCTTTCATTGCGCCGAATTCCACGGGGCATTTTATTCTGTTAGTATTTTCTTATTAATGCATATATACTTAGTAAAATTTACTCCATCACTTAGTGATTGTTTTTATTAATCTGCAGGAAAAATAATGATGAAATACAGCAATACCAATTTTGGTTTCTACCATTAAATATCCCACATGTTCGAAACTATGCTACTATGGTAATGTATTACAATAAAACGTTTAATATATTTTAAGTTAAAAATTAGGATACCTAATACATGATTGCTACCTGGGTATATGACTATCTTGGGTAAAGTAACAGGGTACTTACATTTTAATTGTACAGTAAATTAAATTCCTAAAATGAAGTGGACCTTTAAATAGCTCTTATGATTTTTAATGGTAGAAAACCTTTAAAAATAAAATACGCCGCTAATAAGAACAAAGGTGAATTTAAAAACCGTTGGAATGCAAGGGGAGGGTCAAATTAGATCTAACTTTGAGAAGTTGCTATTTATAAGTGAACATGCAGTTTTTATGTTAATTTTATTTTATCACAAAGTGCTAAAAAATATTACATAACCGACTGATACCGGAAATAGTACGAATGTTGAAAATTTAACTAAATATCTCAGAACAAAAATAACAGTCCACCCTGACCTAGCAACCGCCATCATGCATTTTCTCCCCGAATAATGTGGAAACAAAAACCCATCGAAGCTTACCTTTTATTTTATCCCCGCCTGTTAGATGCACTACACAAAATTTAGACATAAGTTATGTTATTGTTCGAAAAACACTTACTAAAATCCTACATGTTCCGGAATATTACACAAAATGGTTTCCTAAGTAGGTGCTTCGTTACTCGATGAAAAGGATATAAAAACACAATCGCAAACAACATCGAGGCTAAAGTAATAACTTTTTTTTAACGATTTTCATATTCTGCAAGGTATGGGCTTTCACGTGGCGTAAATTTTGTAAATGTAGGAACCTCCGTTTGGCCACAAAAAAATATTAAAATAGAACCCGATTTTGCCTCGCCGTGTACACTTTGCTGCTGGTTACAAAACATCTGCCATCTGTACCCGGCATTGGCGCGAATTGAATGCGGCTGCGCAAAATGAGAATCTTACAGATGATCCTAAAGAAAATTATCTTTTTACCTGAAGAACAGCTGCTGCGAAGACCTTTAATAAATTAAATCAGAGTATAAAGAATGGTGGTGAATCGTTAACTCCGTGAAATAGGCGAGGTTGTGCGAATTGAAAATATTCAAATCTGCTAACCTAAGTGACAACTAGCCAGATATCGAATGTAAACAAATATGGCAGAGTGGAGTGGAGCAGAGCAGATGTCAGGCGGGGGAACCGGAGCGTAATCGCGTACGGTTAGCCCTTCTTATGTCACCGTCTTTGAGGGGGTCGAAGTTCCTTCGGCCGTTACATTAGAAATTTATTAGTAGTAGACTGTCAAACAGCTGTATTAGATGTATTCCAAAAAGTCAGTACTTGCACCAATTATTTGTTTTTTATGAGTGTATCTAATAATCATAAGTGGATCTGAAAGTTTTCGAGCTCCAATTTGCCCGTTAAAATCTATTAGTTTATTAATTAAAAAATTTTAAAAATTATATCCGATGCAATTATCTTGTAGGCACCTACCTACAGATGATGAAATACTGCGCAACGGTACAGGATATTTCATTACGACACTGTACATACTCTAATGTCAAAAAGAGGCAAACTAGGCGTGTACGGAATAGCAATTTTAAAAAATTGGATCAAAATTCGTGGGAATTTTTGAGCAACTCATAGACGTTTCAAATCAGAATTTCAAAATTCTAGAGCGGCACTGAAAAAATTTCTAATTTTTGCGGCTTTGAGAATAGTTTAGCCTGTATATTTTTATTCCGTTTGGAATAGATAGCATGCTGAAAGTATATGAACACTAAAGAAGATGTATGTATTTTATTTTTCTGTCATACGTTCTTAAATTTTTGAATTAACAATAAAATTCTAGTACTTAAAACACTTTTTTAATAAAATTTTCATTGCTAATTTATAAACTATAAAGAATAATGTTCACGGGGCATCAGCTCATCGGCGTTATTTAACCTAATGTATATGAGAACTGAAAAATACACGGGAGGACTTATCTAATATGATAATAAACGAATTTTCGATTAGAATCTAGAAATCTGATTCATCATGGATTAAATTAGTTACAGTATTAAATAAGTAGGTACATAAATAGTGAAAAAACATATTTCCGATGTTACAAGTGTGTTTTCATAAATATTTAATGTACGATTATTTTCCGAATTGTTATGCCGTGGCACATGTCCTAATCGACACCAGTTACAGACATTACACTTTCACTTTTTTAGTCTTAGAATTTTTGACCTGCCCTCATCGTTCTCGGACTAGGTTCCGAAGGGGCCAGTACCACTTGGTCGGTCCTGCCTTTCATTTCGGTTCTTGTTGTTGGTTTTAAGGACGCTCCAATGCTTCCAAACGTTTCATCGTTCTTCCCATCTTCAGTGATGGCTAGGTAAGAAGTTGCAACATAAGTATGTTGGCGATGGCGACAAGGTACATAAGCCACAGCACAACAACCCAAAAAAACATGGTACTTTAAATATCGACACAGACCATGAGAGCTTTAAAAGCACTATGCGTTTTTAATTAGGATATAAAATTACAGTAGTCGTGTATCGAACGTAAGAACGAAAAATATTAGCTCTAACTACTATTCTCATTACTAAAATAATAATAAAAATCGGATCAGTTGTCAGAATTCCATTGCTAATTAATAAATTATTAAAAATTCACATATACTTTTATCTATACAGGACGCAAATACTGCTCTAAAATTACAATAGGAAGTCGTGATACTGAACTGAGGAATGAAGATATTAGCTCGAACTGTTCCCATTATTAATATTGGAAACTTGTAATTGAATTTTTAAAAAATGACTTATTGGAATCTCATTATCGTTAATTCAAAAATTGGGGACAGTGTGTCAAAATAACCAATTACATATAATTTTCATCGTTGGTTTCTGTACTTACAATATACCATATGGGAAAGTACAAAAAAAATGTGATTTTCTCAATGCGACCCTGTAATTTTGGAAGATCATGTTAACCGTAAGTAGCATGACACATAAGTACCAAAAATAAATATGATTTCCACACAAATGGTCGAAAAGTCATAGCCAAAATAATGTAGACATACAGGGTGGCCCAATTAAGACCGTTCACCTGAAATATTTTCATTGCAAGAGGTTTTTGGAAAAATATGCCCTACGGCTCTGAGGACCCCCAGGGGGGTAAGCGGGGGGCCTTCTGTAAAACATCGAATAGCTGAGTAATTGCCCTCTAAATTTCCACTCGGTGGTTTTTGGGGTCGGAGATTTCGATTCTGACACTGAAAAGTATGCCCGAAGCCCCTCCCCCCCAGGGGGGCAAGGAAGGGGTTCAGTAAAACATCGAATAGCTGAGTAATTGCCTTCTAAATTTCCACTCGGGGTTTTTAGGGGCGGAGATTCCGATTCTGACACTGAAAAGTATGCCCGACACCCATGGGGTTGGCTTTCTGGAAAGCATCGAAAGGCACATCAGATTTTTGCAATAAAACTGCTCCACCTGCTTACCAACCATGATCTTGTAGGTTTATCTTTACATTGTAACACACGCAAATTTACAGAGATTAGACAAGAAGGGTAAGAAAAACTAACAGGAAATTAATGAGTCGAAAAGAATCCCCTTTATTCTGAGAACCAATTTTCTTTTTATTTGCAAGGCAATTAGTGAGACAACTACTATCATATGTTTATCTAACACTTTCACTATCAATCACAATTTTCATTATCAGTACAGCCGTGCCATCACTGTCTCCATCACCATAATCTATTACATTTTCGACTATTTCAGGATTGGAACAGTTTGTTCCAAAACAATTTGTACATGCAATTGTGTATGTAATTCCATGCTTCCTGCACCTACAAGATCTGCATTGTCGATAATCGGATTTTGTCGTCTAATTGTAATGCATTACCCGCAGTCGCTAGGGCCCAAGATATTCTTTTGAAAATCCATGATCCATGAAATATTCTTCGGTTTTAAGGAATATTTCTTTGATTTAACGAAATGTGTCTCTTGAGCACGGGTTCTCCAGGATTTCTTCAATTCTACGACAATTTTTCTCAGTGATAGACAAGCTAAGATTAATGGATATTTTCCAGTTCCAGATTCGGAATCCCCGACCTCGAAAAACCCCGAGTAGAAATTTAGAAGGCAATTACTTACTCAGCTATTCGATGTTTTACAGAAAGCCCACCCTGCCCCCCTGGGGGGGCCCAGGGCCGTCAGGCGTATTTTTCAGGGTCAGATTCGAAATCCCCGACCCCAAAAACCCCCGAGTGGGTATTTATAAGGCAATTACTCAGCTATTCGATGTTTTACAGAAGGCCCCCCGCTTGCCCCTCTGGGGGGCCCCAGGGCCGTCAGGCATATTTTTCAGGGTCAGATTCGGAATCTTCGACCCCGAAAACCCGTGCACACAAATTTCTATAACTTTTAGTCAATTTTTAGAAAATTCGGAAAAATTGATGCACTCCAAGATGCACTTTATGCACCCGCAATGCAGTTTCGATCCAGCCCCAAAATGTAATATATAGACTTTTTTCCTGATATTTTTCCGAAGACAATGCCGAAAACCGTAACTCGATCGGTTCATCAGAAAAAAATTTCCGTATTCTAGGTGATTTTGGTCTAACTTGCTTGGACTAAATTATTATATTTGAAGTCATTTTCCAAAGGCAAGATGTGCTTACAAAGATTATTGAATTACAAGTTTATATTTAACTGTTGTAGACAATAGCTTTACATTTTACAGTTTCATATTCAGTTGTCATTTCGCTTCAATGAAGACTCCGCAAGTGAAATTTTAGCTTCCACATTGCATAAAATACAAGATATTTGAGTTTAATAACCCAATTGTAAGTATAATTCAGCAACAAAATAATAAAACATGGTATAGTCATAGTTGCAGTGATTCATCAAAATTATTAAAAGTCAATTATTTCCTTGTATGTGTTTTTCTTGTTTCAAAACTACAAATACAGCCTGTACGATTTTTAATGTAATTTCTTATTAAAATAAATTAATGGAGGTGAAATATAAAAGAAAGGAATTCAATTCCCAGTCGAAGAGGATCGTATCAAAAAATTTACTTTATATTTACCTTATATACAGGGTGTTTCGCATAAGAACCGACACCGAGCAGGAGCATATAGGGGAACCCAAAATATAGTGATTTAGCGCAACTTACCTTTATAATAAGCTGCACCCCGACCTTGAAAAGGGGTTTCAAATTTCGAAAAAAAAAATATCTCAATTATATTTGAATTTAGAAAAACCAAATTTGGTACATGGTGTGAGTGTGTGAGTGTGTGAGTGTACCAAGAGCATTAGTCGACATACATAGTACAATTGAAGCATTTTAAAGGGTTAATAAGGGATGATGCACCATTAAAATGTGACAGAATTTTTTAACCCGTTGGCGGACTTTAATAACAATTATTGCTTTATTTTACGGGGAATTTAATTCTAAAACTTTTCTTACTCTTGTTAGTTTTCAAAAACTTTGCTTTGTGTCGGTTCTTATGCGAACACCCTGTATATATTTTGATATTCTGAAAGTAACGTTGAAAATTTCAATGCACGCCCTGTCGCGGTAAATTATTACAGTAGTTCCGATAACAGAACTTTATTGGCTTATTCTTTCCTTGAAATTCTATCTCAACAAATATTGTACGGACTGTATCTGAGCATAAATTAAAACCTCATCTTTTGCTGTGTGGTAAACACGAGGGTGAACAACAAATTAAAAATTATAGAGGATTTAATTATCTCAGACATTTTTTTTATTTTTGTGATAAAATATTACATTTATTTAATTTGTCCACTGTTTTTTTCGTTACTTGTTCGTCAACAATTTATTTTAATAAGAAAGAACGACCAGTTTGATCACAATTTTTTAAT